ATTTGGGGGATTGGCTTTGCTTCTTTTTCTCTATAGTTGCTTACATAAAAGTATAAAATAGTCGTTGAACATAGCAATGCAACAGTGCAGGGAGACTCGAGTTGGCCCAATGTAAGTGCAATTATAATGCTTCCTCCCTAGAGCTGCTACACCCATATATTGCTGAGGCTAGTGCCCACGCTGAAGTGCAAGTTGGGTGAGAGGTAATTGAAGTTGTGTATTACTTGCCCATGTACTTTGGCATTTCCCCAGTCTAGCTTAGAATGGTTTGATCATCAGCTGATACCATTCAAAAGTTTAGCAATTACATGCTGGTAGGCATCTCTCAAATGTCAGACAGGCTTGAGTATTCAAAGAACAGACTCAGTTCTACAGATTTAAAACATACCTGTGATTCATAGCTTTTGTGCAGACACCATCAATTCTATTGGGGTGGTGGGGCAGGGGAAACCTCACTCATTTTTTCTATTGCTTTTTTTCCTGCTGGTCTTACAGAACAAAACAGCTTCTGCACAGGTCCGTCTCTTTGGCTGAACACCATGTTGAGAGGAACTCCACCTAGACTGATGGAATGAGGAAGATAGGTAGATATATTTACTTCAGTCTCTACCATGCTGCCAGCTCATGATGGAACAGAAAACTTGGGTTCTTAACATAAGTATTTATAACTTTTTATTAAAAGGCAGATTCAGGAAACAAATAAATAGGAATATGAAGCTTTTGAGCAAATAACTTTAAGTGCAGCCATATTACATTCTCATCTATGCAAGCTTCCTCCAGAAATGCAACACTCTACTATGCATTAAAAATGTAAGTATTAAATAAACAAACACTTAAAAACTGAGTAATTGTTAGTAACTCTATGTAATGAACTCCCTGGCTTAATATTTAATTAACACACAGTTAAGACATCTCTGAAAGCCTACTTTAGATCAGCTTTGTTATTTCCATATTACAGCACAAGAGATCTGAATAAATGTAGGAATATTTTATTGATCACAAACATAATACTCCTTTCAGCAATTGAAACCCATGATGATTCTTATGAACAAAGTGAAAATAAAGCACAACCAAAAAATAACTTCACATTTTTTTCCATTTCATTCTTAGTGTAAGCAATAAATACAATGCTATAGCTTCTATTAATCTTATTTACATAGTACAATACTTGGATGTTGCCTGGTTTCCAGACCAAATGTTTCATGAAATGGAGTACATGTTGCAGCATTTCTACAGCCAAATACTCTAGTAGATCATCACAATGAAAAAATACATAGCATAAATGCTAACATTAAACAAAAAACCCAAACAACTGAGGGGACCCTGCAATGGAACGTTTTATTAATTGAAGACAGTAGCATTAAAAATATACATTCTTCCCTAAAGAATACTAACATGCTGGTATTACAATACCAAAATATATGGCAAGTATTTCTGTAGCCCCTGTAGACTGATACAATAAATCCTCACTAAATAACAACAACAACAAAAAAAGAGCAAATAATAACAGATAACTGTTTGCATGTTCAAAGGAATCTCACAGCCCCACCAAAACAGAGTTTACTTCCATCCCAGAGAATACAGATAAGGACTACAACATTCTGTAAAGTAAAAAATAAGAGAAATCAGCATAAGGATTTGATTTTAATTTATTATGACAGAAAAACATTTTGAGAAGCAGACCCTTCTCTTGTTTGTGTAGGAATTGAAAAAGGTGAGGTAGGAAGACAAAATAGGGAATTTATATTTTCCACTGCAAAATAGGAAATAGGTTAGTTAACCTCATGAGGAGGGGGGAAATATAGATCTCCTGTGCCACGTAACCCTCCACAGCTACAAACATTTTCTTGCACATCCAGCTGGATGTGAGTTTCTTTTCCAAAGCGAAGACAGACGTATTCCTAGAAGCATGCTGTGACTGTCCACCTAGAAGTAGGATGATTTCTGTGGAAAAACAATTTTCCCTCCAAAATTACAATTAGAGTTTTCTCTAACAGAGGACAGGGAGCAAATAGCAACTAGTACTTTGCATTAAATGACCAAAAATTATAGGCTATTAAATTTGAACTGCCTAGCTGAGAAGGAAGCTTAATTCAAAATCTAATATTGTATCACACTCTGAACCATCACATATGTTTTAATTATAACAACCCGCCAGGTACCATTGAAATAATTGTCTGATAATATGCCATAAAGGGCTTCAAAGCACTTTTAGATCAACAAATATCTGCCTGGGCTTTGATTCTCAGATGGTACCCATTGATTCTGAAAATGGAACTCAAGACAGATTTATACCAGTTGATGATCTGGTCCCCCAAATGTAAAGCTGCTATACCAGAGCAGGGATTTTCTGCACCACTAGTATATTCAGAACATTGCACAGATTTTAAGTAACACTACGTAGATCAGCAAGCAGAGTGGTAAGTAACCTCTAATCATGTTGTAGCAGATACTGTTACTGTATTCTTACAATTTCAGAGATGGTGACATCTGATTGCCAGATTTCACTCTATTCGAAAGTACAGAATCCAACCGATTTTCAAATCATTCCCATCAATCAACCAGAGAGCCTTGCAGAAGAACAGAAAACTTCTTAGTGCATCCTAGCTGAGATTCTATATTATGAAACTAAATCATTAATAAAACACTTTCTAAATTTAAACTCCAGACATAAGAAATGTAAAAAACTACAGAAAGGTGCAAATGGTGTGAACTTACCGCATCCTCCTAATGTTCTCATTCTAAATACAAAACATTTAAAGCCTTATGAAGTCACAAACCAATAAACACTGACAGCAAATTAACTAGATGCTAATGAAGCTTACAGAAAGGCTACTGACAAAAATGTATAAATGTTAAAATCAAATTGTTCATATAAAAAAAATAAGTATTTAAAACTGAAACTGAAATGGTCTCAGAAAGAACTGTCTTTCATTTTTTTGACTGGCTTACATGCACCAGATATACATTAATTAGCATAGTAGTCTATCAACTCCAGCATCTATTTTCCTCTACTTTGTTTTCGTTTTTCCCCTCTTGAAGTAGACCTATCTGCAAAATAACCAATAAAACCTTTTTCTACTTTTGTGATTTTTTAATAAGACTTTTCTAAATTCACCTCATTTCATGCCTTCGTTCTTGAGCATTTTTGTCATTTCACTTAAAAAAACCTGCTATCTATTTAAAGCATATTTACACAAACATAGATAGCTATAAAGACATTTTCTCTTCCTGACAACCTCCTCATTTTCAGTGAGACCTTTATTCTTTATTTCACCAAAGAAACAACTTATAAAGTACTGTTCTAACCTAATTGAGATAGAGATTCAGCATCAAGCACTCCAAAATAATATTAAAATTCTCAATCTGTAATGTTTTGAACTTTTATAAGACAAAATTTATATTGGATTTTTCAAATAATAACAATTACTAACCGTAGTTTACTTGATTAGTCTGAATCTCATATACTGGCTTTAAAGGTGATATGTTGCTTGCACTGCGTTCAGTTTTGTGTGCTTTTCTCAGACCAAAAATGCCACAAAATTAATCAAAACTTTGCCCCAAGAACGAAGGAATAAATTATCAAGCATATGGCCAGGGAAATATTTTAAAACAAAACAAAACAACAACACGACTACAACAAATTCTGTACATCATCTTTTCCTAGTTGAGTAAATTCCTTAAGCACACAGTGAAGTTCCATCAGCTTCAATTATGTATTAGTGTCTGGAAGGATTAACAGTTAGTGAGGTTACTACTTTTCTTCCTGGCAATAAAGCCTCACAGATCTTGTCTGTGTCAAACCAATAGAAACTTACATAAACTTGAGGAGAAGGAGACACTCCTGTATATGCAAAAATAGTTTAACTAAAATTGCTCAAAGGTGGGTGTAAAATATAACATTGCAGTACAGAAGTAAGTAGAGTCTCAGACTCGCACTGGTGTCTCTATCCTTGATTTAAAGTAGTGGAAAAGACAAACTGGCCAAACCAAACCATCAACATCTTTGAGTCTGTTATCTCAGACTACCTGTTGGGCTTTTTTGACAGTCAAGTGCTGGACACAAAATTAACCAGGACAATCTATTGTTATTATTGCACCTACTTTAACCATTTTCCTTTGTTCTGTTTTAGGTTGAATTAAGACAATACAGTATGGTATTTACACTCTGAGATTCTATAGGCAAATGAAGTGGCTTCAATACAACAGTCTTATACAAACTTCCAAGAAAATAAGAAATCCTTCATTGATTCCCTTTGTACAAAAAGTTGCCAACTTTGTCTACACAGTAGAAACTGAAGAGGCAAAGTTTGTATCCTTACATAAGTGCACATACATATATAGATATATATATGTACAGATGTCCATACTATGTAGATACACAGAAACACAAACATATGTATATATGCATATATATACATACATACGAAAAAACACGTTGGTTTAGTTTGCATCATTCAGGAGAAAAACATATCCCAAGTTAGGTAAAATCTTCTGGCCATGAAGTCATTAAATCAAACTTGGAGTTCATGAGCTACGAGGGTAAGCACACTGGCATACGTCGAGCCTTTGTCAGTCAACCATACAGCTTTTCAGTTTTTAAAACAACACTCTCCATGTCATGGTAGCCCTTCCCATTTAAATGTTCACTGGTGCAGTCGTGATTGTAGCTGTAGCCTTGAACGTCACTGATTGACGAGACGGTGTAGGAAGCGGTGCGCATAGCATCCGAGTGGCTGAAGCTGTGCTCAAATTGGATTTTGTACTGATTCCAGTGTCTTCGCAAAAATGTTTGTACTTACATAAGTGCACATACATATATAGATATATATATGTACAGATGTCCATACTATGTAGATACACAGAAACACAAACATATGTATATATGCATATATATACATACATACGAAAAAACACGTTGGTTTAGTTTGCATCATTCAGGAGAAAAACATATCCCAAGTTAGGTAAAATCTTCTGGCCATGAAGTCATTAAATCAAACTTGGAGTTCATGAGCTACGAGGGTAAGCACACTGGCATACGTCGAGCCTTTGTCAGTCAACCATACAGCTTTTCAGTTTTTAAAACAACACTCTCCATGTCATGGTAGCCCTTCCCATTTAAATGTTCACTGGTGCAGTCGTGATTGTAGCTGTAGCCTTGAACGTCACTGATTGACGAGACGGTGTAGGAAGCGGTGCGCATAGCATCTGAGTGGCTGAAGCTGTGCTCAAATTGGATTTTGTACTGATTCCAGTGTCTTCGCAAAACAGCTTGGACCTATGCCAGAAAAAAAAAAAAAAAAAAGAAAAAGAAATGCACATAAACCACTGGGAAAGATATCATTGGACTTCATTCTTTGATGAACAAGTGCTAAAACAAAGGTGTCTAAGCAAAGCAGGTATTAAGGCTGAATAGCCCTGGAAAATGGGGGTACCTACATGTGATCTGTCACATGAGATGTTCTGAAAGATTTACAATTTAAGAAGGCATTATTCTTTGGTAAATTTGGTGTGAAATAATTGTAAAATGTACTAGTTGCTCAGGAAAAGCACAGATTACAGGAGGAGCAGCAGCAACACAATTTTCTGCTTTCTCCCCTGTGGACTGAAGTCTAGTGGGGACAGATCAAATTTACAGGTGAAAAATGTCATTTCTGTTCGCCCTTATATTCAAGAGGCCACATCCTCGGCAGCTGTAAATTCTTATGCTCTCAACAGACCATAATTTACATTTGCTATGGTTCTGGCACAAGGAAGCCTTCCTTAATTTCTGACCATACCTTAATCGAATGAATAAAAGGACAATTTCCCAAACTCCTTATTCCTACCAGGGTTAAAAATAAAGCTGATAAAATAGCTGAAGGCCCCAGCTTGTTTACATGACTGCACTGAAAGGATGTTATGTTTATCTCAGCCTTCCTCTCCAACAATATGGTTAAACACCTGTGCATACTGGATTGATGAAGTGTCACATTCATGGAATTCACATGGAATTAGTATTTCAGTGAAGATGCCAAATGAGGAATGCCTAGAACGGTAATAGCTATTGTTGTTGCTTTTTCAAGAGAATTTTTTTTTTTTTTAAATGTTAAAAAACCTGCCCACAGGCCATGAATATTTAATTTCCTTTTCCGCCAAACTTTGTACACAAAGTATTCCCGCATTGGCTTGGAAGGCACTGACTTTCAAGAAATGCGGGGGGGACACTGACACTCATATTTAGCTAGCAGTGCACCCCAAATCACAGGCCTCATTCACAAGCATGACTTTTATTTCACTTCATTACATACAAAAGAACTAAACAATGAACAGCGATTCCCCCAGTTAAATGTTGATATTGTGGGTGAATATTTTTAGGATTTTCCATACGTCTTCAGGGTTTCTTTTGTGTTTGCTTTACATTTCCCTAACACAATGGCTTCTTTTGTCTGATTTTATACTGGCTTTAATTATGGATAATAAAAATAAATAGAAGAAAAGGCATGCAATTTTTAGACTTCCTGCAGTCTGGTATCAGAATCCTCTGTTTAAAGGAGGACTTCGTGTTTCTCAAAATCCTCAAAAAGAAAATGTAAAAGGGAAAGGGAAGAAGTATCAACTGAGTAGCATAAGAAATTAGTATTTTAGGACAAAAGAGATGCTCTTTTACTATTCATAAAACCATTCCAATCCACTCAAAACATCTAAACACAAATCTACAAACACTGAAGAGAAATCAAGTGTCTTAATACTTCTAAGTATCTGCTCTTATTGCTCTTCATACCAAAAGTCTGTATTTCTTTTGAGTCTAAATGAAGAGTTCTTGTTTCATCACAGGAAGTTTTTGATTAATTAATTTGCATTGCAGAGCAATATATAGCCTTAAATTTTCACACAGGTTGCATCCATTTCCTGTAATCCCTCATAAAGTCAAGAGAAGAGGCATATTCAAAATTCCATCTTTCCTGGGAAGGAAACTTGGAATTTATTTCTAAATCATATCAATCAATCTATGCACATCACTAAGCAATTTTCCATTTGTTCTCCTTTCTATGGTCAATTCCTCAATAACGTTAGTGCTTTATTGCAGACACACGCTCAAAAAATTACATATTGAGTAATTTTCACTTTAGACAGGACCGACAACAGGCAAGAGATGAGAAAACATCAGCAACTAAATGGCTTAGCCACGGTCAAGGAAGTCTATTGGCAGAGCTAAGAAATAAACTAGAATTGCCAAGTTGCAAAGAAACTTTACATTCAGGTCCTCTCCCACACTTCCTCCTGGTTGCTTCAGTAACACTTGTTTGTTCATCTTATTTTCAATTGTTGATAATATTTGTAAAGCAGTCCTAAAGGATACCAGTCCCTGTAGCTCAAGAGAACCGTCAGCACACCTGCAAGACTAGTGCCTTTGGGCTACTTCTAGGGGGAAAACACAGTCTGCTTAGCTTGCTCTCTGGCCACTCACAGATTGCTATGAATAGTGTTTCCTGTACGGGCAAACACCGTTTCCTCTGTGCCCGCCCCAGTGCCCATCGTGCTCATCGTGCCCATCGTGTGTTTCCAACTAAGCCACGTATTTTTGGCATTCTTCCCAAAGCCTCTCTGTTACTGCTGAATCGGTATTTTACCTCTGTCCTACTACACGTCTATTCTTGTAGGGTATCACATCCTTTCGTTTATTATTACTGTCTTTCAGTCTTCTCTAAACCATCCAAATCAATCATTTGTAGAAGAAGATTGGAAAAATCAATGAGGCAACTAATTTTACCACTAATTATATGCTGTTTAACAACATGTATGTCAACCCATGAAGTGAAAACAGAGTTCTTCCCTCAGCTTTGAGGTCTTTGCACAGAGCTATACATTCGGCTCAGGTCTTTGCACAGAGCTATACATTCATTGCTTCAGCAAAGCACTTTGTTACTTTGCTATAAGAAGGGATATTAAGCAATGCGTTTAATGAACAAAAGTAATGTAATAAATAAAATTGTATTTCTCAGTCATTAATAGAGGTGCCAGTTCTAGCTGGGAGATTCTTGCTTTCTCACTGTACTAGTTAGTAACGGCTCTTTTTGATGAGTTTTCATGAAGATCTCCTTCCAGTCAGCTCTTTAACGTACTTGATATTCAATGTAGCACTAATTAAACAGCTCAGTAGCCAACAAGGAGGAAAAAACCAAACAATCCTACCTCACCTATTAATAAAGAGATTGTATAATCCTGCAGACCTGAGGTTATAATCTTTACTGCAACATTTCTATAGACAAGTGGAAGGAAAGAAGAAACCGTCAGCCCCACAAACCTTACATGGATAACATAGGTCATTATTATCAGCTGTTATTAATAGCTCAATAGGAATCTTTATCAGAGAACTGGGAGAAGTTTCTCCTCTCACTGCAGCTTGTGTCACCCCAAAGGATGCTCTAGGCCAGCTCAAACTGGAAAACATGATGAGGTAGTCAAGAAGCATCTTACTCTGTGAGATGCTGGGACAAAAGCATGTGAGTGTCCTCAGGGAAGCCTTGCCACAGAAGATAACGATGAAGGGTTTGCACGTATGCCCTTGTGTGTAGGAGGTTTGTGACAAACAGCTGCAGTGCATGTTAGAACTGGATTTGACAGACCATCCCTGGCTGTGCTGCTCAAGAAGTTCAGAGATGTTCCTTGGCTACAGTCAGCAGGACAATCAGCTATTTTCTTTACGTTTCTTAGTTCCTTTTCACTACAGCTCTCTGCTAGCAGATCACTTTTATTCACTTTTTGGCCAGAGGTGGCCTGCAAGCCATCACTTGAACAGGATTTGGCTCTTGATATTTAGTACAGAAAACATTAAAAGGTACAGTAGCAGTTGGGAAATGCTAAGATTTAGAGAGAAAGAAATCAGTGCTTTTAGCATTTTTAATTGCTAATACCCCACTGGAACAGCTTTGCCCCTTTGTCATTCAAAGTGTTGATTCCAGTATCAGTATTCACCTTTAAATCATAGACTTACTGCAGATAAGCGTTAACAGCGCTCTCTGATTCCTCTCATTCTGTACAGTCTCTAACGAGGTGTTGCTGTGACAGGTGATGATAAAGAAGCATCTTGTACACAACAGCTAAGCCGCAGTTGCAGGCTTTGTTCAGGCACTGTTATGACAGCAAGAGAGGATGATGGCAATGGAATACACGAGTGCCTGTGGGCTCACGTGCCAGAAGCAGAATCTTTTAGTAGACAAAGGAAACACGTTTTTTCTAACTATACCGTCATTCTCCCTGTGGATTTCCTTACTGATACAGTTGTTTATAAAGCAATAAACCCCTTCTTGAATAAGATGGAATAATAATAATGAAAAAGTGAATAATGGTCATTGAAGCTCTGAACCCAAAACTGGTTTAAAAAGCATAAATTTCCTCTCTGTAGAGAGCAAATACAGACATGCATGTTTAACTGACAAAGTCAAGGCATAGGGTCTAAAAATTAAATGCCTAATTTAACAAATGTTAAAATGGCTAAATCTCCCTTTTAAATTATCCTGCCGACAGATGTTGAAGAAGTGACTCATCTGTTACCATTTGTAGGAGCTGTGGAAGAACTCATCTTTTACCACTCATCAGCCCATACTGAATTTAGGATACTGAATGAGTGGGATGACTCAAGTTTGCTTTTCTTGCACAGCAAGAGAGACCGTGTGAAAAATAGGAGTCTGTAACAATGGAATATTAACAGATACAATTCTTACTGATAATATCATATTTTAAAATCAGGGTTTCGACTTGTTTAAGTAAGCAAATAGCCTCAGAAGATCCACAAGGATTAAAAGGCAGAACTGATCAGTGGATAATGTTGTTTCATAGAAACTGCAGAGATTTCCAGAGTTTCCCCCCCTCCCCCCATTTTGCACTGGAGCAGGACAAATTCTCTGTTTGATTTTTTTCCAAATATCTATTTTTAGAAGGCATTCTGAACTATAAAATTTAGAAAGGAAAGCATGTGTGAAATATCAATGCTGAATGTGGGCAAGTGATCAAATCAGATCCAGAATGCTTAATGATGTGTTCTGCTTTGAATCAAATATATAACGAGGACTTGAACCTGCATCTACTTTGCATTAAAACCAGACCAAAACCACTGCCCCATGCCCACTAAACTATGAGAAAGCCTCTTTTCAACTTTTCTGCCTCCTTGGGGAAAAAAGAAAAGTAATTGTTGAGACTCATACGTTTCTGGGGGGAATAAAAATAAACCTTGAAACCCCATGGAAGTTTCATTGCAATTCAGTCAGCTTCAGACTTAGAAAGAGAAGGAGGGACGCAATTCTACTATTAGCCAAATATTTACCTGTAAGTAAATATTACTGTCCAGTAACATTATATAAAGCACACTGATACAATTTTATAACATCTGATAAAGGAAACTAAGGGTTCAGTCACATGAAAACATCTGGTTACTCCCACACATCTGCTTACAGCCGTATACTGCAACTGCACTAGATGTAGAACAAACAAACAAACAGATGTGTAGGAATAAGTGTAGGATGCAATTGTTGCTCTGCCAAAAGTGTTGGAAAAGTACCAGTTAGTTTTTTGGTGGGGTGGTTTTGTTCATTTGTTGGTTTTTTTTTTTTTTGGGTGTATACGTATACATATTTTTTAGACTTTCTACCACTTTGATCTCTGACACTGTAAGGCCCTGTAAGCGTACTCTCAAGTACAGCTTGTGGGCCAAAGTTTCTAGAAGGAAGTCACTGTGCACACTCCAGAGATACTGGACCTTGATCTATTCAAGATAACAGCAAAGCTTGTTAGCTTCAACACAATCAGTACTACATATTACTGAAATACTGAAATTTTCTAACTTCAGAATCAAGAAGTTTGTTCTTGGAACTGACTGATGATGTTTTCTTAAAAGTGTACACAAATTTCTGACCCAAGCACAATAAGCTATTAAGTTCTGATTTTTGGAATGATATTTTTCAGCTGTCCTGAAAAAGAGTTTTCCAAACAGCAGCCCAAAATTTTCCCAAAGAGCTGTCGTAACACAACAGTAACCCAGCACTGCAACATGTATCCAATCTGCTCTATTCCTTCTGCAGAAACACCAAATACAGGGATTCTCCAGGATAACAGACGCTATACCGCTTCTAACATAGACAAATATACCTTCTGGATGTTGAATTGCATTTTACTTTTATATGCTATTTATTGAGAATTTATATCAAAGCGACAATTGTCTTCAATTCCTTATATAATCAAGAGACATACATTGCTCAGCACAAATGAGTCAGTCCTAAAGAACTTAATTATGCCATGGAGGATGGCATAGTCTTTCCCAAGCTCTGCTCTTGGCAGCCAGATAGTTTTTTAAAAAATTAATTTTTACCTGGCAAATTTAGATTTAGAAAATTTTTTAGAATTATTTAAAAATCACCATCTCTTTAATTGCTGAAAAATACCCAAAATATATAAAATATGTATTATAAATATATTAAAAACTGTTACTCTACCTCTCCATTAAAGAAGCAGAAAATTGTAGCCACCAGTAGACCCTGTAAAATAAAAAAGATTCTGCTTTATTTCACGCGCATATGGATTTTTCCAGGTTTAAGATAATTAGATTCCTGATAAAATTCAGATATAGATAGCAAAGAAAATGTGATGCAAATCTAAACTCAGTGAATTATTTTTAAAAATACATTACTAAAAAGTATCGGGTCAGCCATCTATCGTGATCTTTCTTTCCTTTAAGAAATGAAAATTCAGCGTAATGAGAAAGTTAAAAGTCATTTATAAGAATATTGATTGAAGGTCTTTAAAAATGAAAATAACACCATCATTTCTTTTTTATATGCTTCACTTGCCAACTGCTATTTAGCTCAAGTCAGCAAAAAGTGTTTAATGCTTCCTACCTGGTAGTGCATAAGGATGTGCATCACATAGTCATACACTTCCTCAGCGATCCGGCCCTCTGGTCGCCATGGAAACAGGACAAATTCAATGCCAAGTAGTGGAACAAGGATCAGGGTAGCTCTGACTGCTTTCATGTACAGGTTGGATTCTGCCTTGTGGGTGTCTTTCAGCTTTGTTATGAGAACACGAACGATATTTAGCAGGAAGAAAAGGTTCACCTGTTGGAAAAGAAAACAACACTGAAGATAGTCTGAAAAATATGCCACACACTGTTTTGTAATACTAAAAACCGTAAAGTCAAAATAACTCACACTACATGGATAGCATCATGATTGTACAACAAACACGAGTTAAAACCCTTTGAAAACACCTTTAAGTAACTGAGAGTGGGCTCTAATGTCAGTTATCCACATCCATTCCTTTAACTTATTAATTATCCATCCAGATAACTGTTGGTCTTCCAGTGTTAACAATCCACGCACCTGTCTCTCTGCTATCACAGTAACATAACAGTACACAGGTGAGTGATTAGTTTTATTTAAAATGATGATGTCTTTTTAGGTTGGTCAAGAAAGAGGATGACACTCTTCCCTCTTTGTATTTAAGTACAGTTCTTTAAAAGGCTACTTTTTTATTTTTCAAATATGAATTTGACAAATGTATAGAGCGGAAAATAATCAGATTTTTTAAAAATAATAAAAAAAACCCCAACAAAATTGCAGGCGAAATGCTCCTAGAGGGAACTCTAAATCTCCTGTTTGTCTACAGGAATATAACATTCTTAGAGTGGCCAGTGGTTGATTTTTGGAGCATTCAGCAGAACTGCAAATGGGGCAAGCACTGAGGTCGTGCTCTACATCACTCTCATGCACTACTGAACTAGGTTATTTCCATACCTATTAAGGTTTTTCTTGTTAACAGTGGTGTATATCTGTTCATTCAGTTTTATGTATATATAAAAAAAATAAATCATAAACTGAGATCACAACTATGCAGACTGTATCTTTCAACTCATTGTAAGCAACCACAAAACTAATACACACACACACACGTATACGTGTGTATGCACACACACATATGTATACCCAAGAGCCTAAGGATGTGAGTAACCAGAGCAACAGCAACATTAGGGATGATTACACCATATTTTCATCTATTGTGCAATAATGGCAGCCCCTTATAGAAACTAGAGCTAGAAGAGACCCTGAGAGCTCAGCCAGTCCCATCACCTTGCTCAAGGGCACAGAGGTGTAGGGGATTCACTGTGGGATGGAGAGAAATAGACTCTGGTCCTACCTCTTCTTCCCGATAATTATCTGTCCTTGTCAACAACTATCTAGAGACAAAAGGCGGGGACGGGGAAAGAAGCCAGCAGACAGCGAGACAGACAACTCCCTTCTAAACAGACTAGGAGGTCCTGGTCTAAGGGAAGGCCTCTGTCTTGCTGTGGGACAAGTGCAAACAGGGAAGCCATTTCAGACTATATGTGTCACCATGTCCTCCACAGCCCTGGCAGAATCCTTTCATGTCAGTTAAGGTTTTCACGATAAACAGCTGCGTATTGTTATAGCAACGAGGCCCTTGACAGATATGTGATGTTATTTATATTCTACTTACATGCTATTTAAATCATTTTAACAGGAAATAGTTTTACATAGGAAACTACTGCATAAATTTCTCCTGGAAGTCTCCGGCTACCTTTAAGCTTTGTTTAAGCAACCAAGGTCTTCTGAGTCTTTCTCAAGGGATTTATTTAGATTTTATGCAGCCCACGATCCTCATCCCACTTCCTATGGTACACATAGACAATAAGTCCTTCCTCCACTTCTAAATTTAATCCTTCTAAAATCTACTAGTTCAACATCAACATGTCTCAAACACAGAGTTTTCAGCCCTCTCATGTTTGGTAGCATGGCCAATTCCTATAATACTATCCTTGAATGCTAACTGATGGTGAAGGTTGCAGCAGCCAGGAGAAAAATACCATCTGGCAAACTATTTAATTTACAACAGGCTGAAATGCACAGAATTTTTCTAATTGTTCCACTTACCCACCAAAACAAAAAAAAGCACAAAAAAAAAAGGGCACCAAGAGTTTGCAAATAGGTATTAGGGCAAACAGAAAAGATGAATGAGGCAGTGCAGAGGACAGAGAACAGCATGCCATGTCAGTAACAGTATGCAACGCCAGTTCACAGAATCACAGAATGGTCAGGGTTGGAAGGGACCTCTGGAGATCATCTAGTCCAACCCCCCTGCCAGAGCAGGGTCACCTACAGCAGGTTGCACAGGACAGCATCCAGGCGGGTTTTGAACGTCTCCCGAGTGGGAGACTCCACCACCTTGCAGCCTGTTCCAGTACTCCACTACCCTCAAAGTAAAGAAGTTCCTTCTCATGTTAAGATGGAACTTCCTATGTTCAAGTTTATGCCCATTACCCCTCGTCCTATCACTGGGCACCACTGAAAAAAGACTGCTCCCATCCCCCTGGCATCCTCCCGTTAAGTATTTGTAAGTATTAATAAGATCCCCCCCTCAATCTTCTTTTCTCTAGACTAAAGAGACCCAAGTCCCTAAGCCTTTCTCCATATGAGTTTTTGACGTATATCTCTTCTGTCACAAATACAGTGAGATCAAGACGAACTGCATTCTTAAAGTGATGAGAACGGGTCTTGACTAGCAAGGTAGTGAGTAGATTTTTACATTTAAGCAAATGGAATTACTCGCATGTATATTATCATCAAATTGACTATGATGGTTTGTAAAGCCTCAGAGGGGTCCCGTTGTGCTAGCTGCGCTATGAACACACGATAAAATACTGGCAGCTCCTCAGTGACCTGAAAAGTGAACCAGACAAATGAGCAAAAATGGGAACAAAGGCAGAGAAGGCAATCCCAGATAAAAAGAAATGTTGGCACCAATACTGGGAACTTAATAGAATTTAGTGTCTGCCTTATGAGTGGCTGTGAACTTAGCTGAGCTTCTAAGTCAATAGGAGCTGCAGTTCTTGATTTAAACTCTTCTCAGGTCCCTGATATTTCTACTTCTCCCCATGCTGAGTTTGTGCTAAGCAGTATGGTAATCTTTATTAGCATGTAGGTTTAAATTCTGTCTAAATTCCTCCTGAGGATGATATAAACAGACCATTCTCAGCTCAAGAAACTCAGATATTCCTAGATACTAGCTGGAAGCCATTGCGTGGCTTTTAATCTAGTTATGCAGCCTCAGATCTTTGCCTGCTTGAGCCTGGCTTGCTTGGGCAGAAAATGTAGTCAAATTTTATACCTGGTCTGCGGACATTCCCAAGGCTGCATATATGAATGCCAAGCATCCAACTTCTAAACTCCCAACTCCTGTTTAAGACCAGCTTAAAATTATTAAATAGGTCAGTGATAAAGTTAGGAGCTCCTGAACTTCCTTCTAGTACATGTTCACCGAGTGCACTTGCTTCTTCTGCTAAAAGAATTTCATCTATAAAAGGCTGCAGTCTAAGACACTGATACATAATATTACTATAGGGCAAAATAAACAGGCTTGGATTATTTATATAAATAATGGCATACCTAAATCAAAATTGACTCTTTCAGTGGCACCGATGCAAACTAAATCCCTAGTGCACTGGCACATGTGAAATCTACCCTGAAATCACTACTGCTTTCACTAAAGTTCAAACCCATTGCTTTTTTTTCCCTCCTCCATTTTAATCAATATTTGTCTAGTGTAAAAACTAACATCACCCTCTACTGTTTCATTCCCACACTATTTCTGTAATTGTGGTTGCTTAGGCAAATGGTTGTAATTAAATGGTCAACTGGAGACAATTCCAATCAAAATGCAACCTATGTCTGCTCCCATTTCCAGTTTCTTTGGCAGGGATCTGACCACAGTTATGTAATAACAGGGACTGTAAAAGCAGCATTATTGTTAACTTTATGTAATTGTAGGATTTTCAGTGATGTACAAGAGTTAAACTCCCATTGGCTTCTGCCAATTCTCCCTGGCACCCACTTGACGGTCCTCTTCATCCTCTTTGAGATCTTGCTCCTGCAAGTAGAAACAGTGTCTTCTCCCCTCGTTATCTAATTTGCAGTTTAATATTGTTGCTTAAATGTCTACTAAAGCAGGTCATGCTTACTAAAGTGTGAAAATTGTATCTGGCAAGCAGGCTGCTTAAGCAAATGAGGGTTCTGTTCACAAAGCCTAAACACATGCATTTCATCTAATGTCTTTATCCCTGGCTCATCTTCTTCTGAATTGACATACTACATTTTTTTGTTACCAGAAAGGAAAGCAACTCCTTTAAGGTATTTTCACATCACAGACAAGATGTGTAGTTGTGTTTAACCTTTCTCATTCCTGCATGGTTTTCAAATAAATTTGCTGATTGTACTGAGGCAAGAAAAATGCAAGAGAAACACCTTCAGTCAGCTCATGAAAAAAATAGGACCATCACAGGTATACATCTTTGCAAATTGCAAAGGGAATAGACACAGATTCTGCCCAAACCAAGCCCACAGGTTTATACGCCTCTGTGGCATATATATATATATATAAATCTATATATAAAATCAAAGGACATTCTTAGTGTTGCCTTGAGTGGGAAGAAGACTTGACAGTTTGGGACTGACCCAGTACATCTGAAACCAGTAGGAGTCTGGCCATTGTTTTCAGTGTGACTTTGTGGAGGCCACTGCTGGGAAGGAAAAAATGATCTTATGTTCCAAAATGAGGTCACTTAATGGAAGATGGTATAGTCTCATCACCTTTACACAATTTTTTCTGTTGTTATTTAAGCAAGCTCTGACTAATATAAATTATATTTCAGCTTTAAAGAGTTCTATCTAAGTGATATATCTGTGAGGAGACACCTGAACAAAGGAAATAACAACAAGGCAATGCAGAATAGCATAGAGTTTCTGGGTGAAATACAGCACCACTGTGCAAAAAAATCCTATCCTTTTCTGTGAAAACAGGATTTCACCTTCTGTGTAAATTAGAAAGAGGAAAAATTGAAAGGATTTAGAATTGGTTTTAAGTTTACAGACTAGAGTGCTAGTTAAAATGTCTTTACATTAACATATATGGCAGACCTGATTAACATGACAAGGGATTATCAGTAATAATTCACACCCCAAGGGCTGTGGGTCTCAATAATTTTATGGGGATTGCTCTGTCTTCCCATGCAAAGGACCTCAGGTGTGTCATGGTATCAACATGATCTTCAAAATCTAAGTTCACCAGCTAATTTCGCTGTGAATGAAAATGGGAGTCACAAGAATGACAGGATTTATGCAGTGGTTTTCAGAGAGAATTCACTATGCACAGAATGCCCTCTGCAAATGTTCATTAACAATTTAACGGAAGAGGAAGTTCATGTAGATCAGAAACTGAAATGATTTCCAAAAGGTTACTCAATGTTTTCATTCTTAATGAATTTCCTTGCATGAACTGAAAAGCTGTAAGAAAAGTCAGCAGACGCGTATAAAATACCTTTGCCAGATCAACTTGAAGTTTGTGTAACCATAGAAGAGATGACTGTAACATGTATAGGCAGAAGCTAATTCAGGTCAGGTATCGAATGCCTCTACACTGCAGCATTCTCTGCATTATGCATTCACAGATATTAATTATGCAGATAGTTGTGTAAGTAGGTACATACTAGTATTTTCTTTTACTATGCACCTATTTCTATTTAGCCATAATCATAGGTTAAATTCAGTCCTAGAATAACTGAAGTACACCATTGATTTTTATACAGTGGAGTCTTGAGCGAGTTACCTAGAATTTAATGTCTTCAGCAGCAGACATCCGTGCAATAGAGCTGGCATTAACTTGAGTGTAAGACAGAACACTGTGCTCTGAGAGTTCATGAGGACTAACGAAGCAGAGGAGTTGCAATACGCCGGCGGCCAAAGCACACATTGCTAGATTAGTATCAGAACAGGGGC